AGCAAGTTTTCATCTCAGGCTGACTTGTGGTGTTTTTGACTGCCTCCCTGCATGGGCAGCAATGTCTCAGGGTTGCTCACACTTAGTCTGCCCCATACCAAATTTAGAACTCTCCAGAATTCCTGATTTCCATCCATACTGCCCATCCAGCATTTGTTGGGATGGTCTGGAAGGCACATCCTGTGAGGAGAGCCTAAGGACATGTGGCTTGTCCAGTTTGGAGAACACAAAGCTTAGAGGCAGCCTCATTGCTCTCTACAACTTCATGAAGAGGGAAAACAGAGTGGAGGTGCCCATCTTTTCTCACTGGTTACTGGACATGTGGGGGTAATGGCACAAAACTGCACTAGGAGATGTTCAGGCCAGATAGTAGTGATACTCGAAATCAGTTGATCATGAAACACTCTAAGATTCAAACTGGAGTATTAGAAAGCAGGCATTCTTTATTTTCAGTGCCGGATGAATGGGGGATATGCTCCACCTATGATGCACATGTTGCACAAAAGATCCTCAGCTTATATGCATTATTTATATTACACATGCAAATGTTTTCCTGTACAGAACAGAGATATTCCACACTTTCTCATAAAGTCATTAACATAGGGTTCTGCCTCCTTGTACACATTCTCCACAGCATTTTTGTGGTGGTGGTCCCACAACCCTCTGGGTGATGTCAGTACTCTTCCTCACTGTGTTCACTACATGAACCCCACATTCAACAATGGTCAATTAGCTACTTGCCTTCATCACACAATAATTGCATTCAGAATATTAGTTGAATCGAAGTAGAGCTTCCCATATCTACTCCATTCAAGATGTTAGGTATATCACTGTTATCTAGTTGGTACAGGGGCACAGATTAGGACTGTTTTCTAAACAAACTCCAGGGTATCCATCAAGAAGCATTAGAAAGTGGAACAATATTGCCACAACTGGCATCACTAGGAAAAAATAGTTTAACATGAAGTTGGTCAGACATTGGATCAGGCTTCCTTGAGATGCCTGATGCCATGATGCCCCATGCTTCTCAGGGTTGACAGACATTTTGATAATGCTTTCATTAATATGCTTTTCCTTGTGGTTAGCACTAATGACGTTAGACTGTTGAATCTCATGATATGTGACGATGCCTTTCAGTTCCTCTCCTCTCTATTAGCTCTGTTAGCAGGAAGACAGAGATTAACAGAATCTATTGGAATCTTGAAGTGCGCCTGATGTGACCAGGACAGGTATTGCTCCGTGGAACACACAAGTCACGCAAACACTCACCTCCTCATGCACACACATGTGGAATCATGCAAACCTCTATACCCACAGGCAACTGCATAAATCCAGCACGCAGGCTCTAGTTATTTCATTGTAATGGCTTACTAAGCATGCTGATATCCGTTGCCTTTGCTGGATTCTTCCAGCACGTGAACTGAGTGTTCTGCCCACACTGATGTGTGCTGCCTCTAAACACTTGGGCCTTTCTTCCGGTCACACTAAAGATGCCTTCCATGAGCAATGGGAGTGACATAAATCAGGATGCAAAAAGTAGCAGCACAGGAAACCAGCACACAGTCTATGCCAATAGCTGGGATGTTTTGCATTCAAGAGGTTCTTGTCATAAAATAATCACTGCTGCAAGAGATGCCTCTGGAAATGGGTCAGCTTGGGTCCATTATAAAAGCCAGCCCAGCTCCTTGCTCTCTCAGCCACTTCTCTCACCTCCTTCTGGGGAACCAGGTGAGTGTGAAGCCCCTTCTTCTTCTCTTCATTCTCCAAACAGAGTTCTGAGCTCAGTGGAACTCTCAGCTGCTATTAGCTCTATTCCGTGCCTGACTCTGCTTAACATGAGATAGGGAAGTGGGGAGAATGCTTGTATCCCCATGTATCCCCATGTCCTGCTTCCTTCCTGCTCTCCCCAAACAGGTGCACCTCCATTCCTGAGACATGTCCTGCTGTGACCAGTGCGTGCCATGCCGGCCCTGCGGCCCGACCCCTCTGGCCAGCAGCTGCAATGAGCCCTGTGTCAGGCAGTGCCAGAACTCCAACGTTGTCATCGAGCCCTCTCCCATGGTGGTGACCCTGCCCGGACCCATCCTCAGCTCCTTCCCGCAGAACACCGTCGTGGGCTCCTCCACCTCCGCTGCTGTTGGCAGCATCCTCAGAGGTGAGGGCGTGCCCATCACGTCAGGGGGCTTGGACCTCTCCTGCATTTCCAACCGCTACTGTGGCAGAAGGTTCCTCATCTTCTACTCTTTCCTCTCTTGCCCTTGTATTCCCTTCTTTTGAATTTATAATTCCCATAGCCACCCTTGGTGATATGGGACTGACAGATGGATGTATTTTGGAATCTTCACCATGGAGGATTTTTGGCAGCTCTGGTGCTGCCTGCAAAACAGGTCCTTGTGGAAGAAAACTCATTTCCCTCTTCAGAGTCATTAATGTTACCTGCATCTCAGCCTCAGCCTCCATGTGATCCTTTTCATGGTGGCCTCAAGTTGCTAGGAATGAAGGGCAGCTCTGGTCTGCAGATAGGAGCCTTTCATCATGTGGAAAGTATTCATGTGGAAGAATTACTACAAGAAAACCATGCATCATCTCCTGTGCTCCTTCTAAATCTGAGATTTCCACAAATCTGAGCTTAGGGAAGGAAGTTCTTACTGAAGCAGTGCAACACTTCATTCTCCAGAAAAGGCCACATCTGGCAAGGTTCACCCTGTAGGGAATTTGGGCAAAAGACACATAGAATCATAGAATCACAAAGTTGGAAAGGACCTACAAGATCATCTAGTCCAACCATCCTCCCATTACCATTGCTACCACAAGCCACTAAAACATATCTTCTAACTCCTCATCGAGACGCCTCTTGAACACTGACAAGGACAGTGAGTCCACCACCTTTTTGGGCAGGCCACTCAAGTGCCTGACCACTTTTGGGAGAAAAAGTTTTTCCTTATGTCTAATCTAAACCTCCTCTGGTACAACTTCCATTTCTTCAGGTCCTGTTTGTTTCCTGGCAGAAAAGGCCAAACCCCCTCCTCATTACAACCTCCCTTCAGGAAGTTGCAGAGTGCAATGAGATCTCCCCTGAGTCTCCTCATCTCCAGACTAAACAATCCCAGCTCCCTCAGTAGCTCCTCATAAGACCTGTGCTCCAGACCCCTCACCAGTTTTGTTGCCCTTCCCTGGGCCCCAGAACTGAACACAATACTCAAGATGCAGCCTCACTAATGCTAAGTACAGGGGGAGAAACAGAACAGTGAAGCTATCCGGACATGCATGCAATCAGGTGAGTTTCAGACCACCTGCTTAAAGCCCTCAGTGCACAGCAGAGCACACAAATCACAGTGCAGCATGTGTTCTCTGCACAGCCCATGCAAAAACTGGGTTGTCCAGGAGTGCACATGGAGAGGAGTTCCCGGTCAGGGTCCCTTTCATCACTTTTCATTCCTCCCAAGCCACAGACATCGGTCTCTTCTGGAAGAGGATGCTGACCTGCAGATCTCTGTGCGCACAGGGGAAGCAGCGCTGCCAGGGGAGAGCTGAGGGCCCCTTCCCCAGAGCTCCGCCTCCAACAGACACAGCCCCTCCCTCACTGGGGCTGTTGCACGGCCAAGGAAGCTCCCTGCACCAGGGTGTCCTGCACAGCACAGAGGTACAAGGCGCTGTCAGACAGCTGGACTTTTGCCAGCTGCAGGAGGCTGTTTTTCCCGGTGGTGTTCAGCCCCGTGGTGAAACGGCCGTTGTGCTTGGAGCCTGCTGCTGCCTGGTATGTGACCAGCTGGGGGACTTGGCCTTTCTTCTGCTGGTACCAAAACAAGCCATTCAAGTAAGATGTCTGGTAAGTGCAGGTGGTCTGGAAGGTGTTTTTCTCCTCCACTGTGACCTGTCCTTCTTGCTGGCTGACAATGGTCTGCCCCATGGCATCTGGAAGAAGAAAGCAAAGGTGAGCAGCTCTGCAGGGAAGGTTCCAGCTGCCAACACGTAATGGATACAAAACAGTGGGAGAGAAGGCTCCCTGTCCTTTGTCCAGCAGAAAGGTGTTGATTCTAGGGCATAAGAAGGTGGTTTCGGAAGAGCTCTGAGCTTGTGGGCCAGAGCAGATCTTGTGCTTTGCCCCTGCTGAGAGGAACAGGGAACAGCCTGTCGTGGCTGTGGAGGGTGAGGGACCCATGGAGGTATTGGGAAAAGATGCATTGTGTTTCTCCAGCCCTGTCAACGTAAAGGGTTCCTAAGTTCCTCACTGTACACAAAGCTGAACTGAAGGGTGACAAGTGTGATCTGTGGCTGTGCTGACAACCAGGAGAACACAGAAGACCACAGCCCAGATGCATCAGTCAGTATCCCCTTAATACTGATGGTATGAGATGTTTAATGTCCGTGTTGTGACTTTGACAAGATCTCCTTCTTTCTACTGGTAAGGCTGAAATGTGGGACTGCAGGGATGGCTGCCATCTCTAGAGGTGGCAGCAGATGGGCCTGAAGAGAAAGGCAGAGAGAGAGAGAGAAGGGAAAAGAAAAGCAGGAGAGGATTCTGAGTTCTCTCTTCTCCATTTTCCCAACAGCAGCAGTATCTTGAGAGAACTGGTGCAACATCACAACAGTCAGTCAGAAATTGCCCAAGGTTTACTTTTACTCCGGAGCTGTTTGCCACAAATCCCTGGTGAGGCTGGTGAGCACTTTGTGGAGAGAAGATGGATGCCTTGATTATAAGCCAGCACTTACCCAGCAGTTGTCCCAGGAAGGCAGTGAGGACGAGAGAGCTGCGGTGCATGCTGAGA